CCCTGGCACTATCAAAACAACACTAAGTTTGAGATCTTCACCTATTCCCTAGAAATGGAATCACCATTGTGCTGCACAGTTGAGCGAAGGAATGACGGATATGTGCCATTGATTGTAACACAATCGCTACATAAGTAAAAGGAAAAAAATAGAGAGAAAGAAAAGAAAGAAAGAAAGAAATGGGAGTATAAGGGTGTCTTCACTAACATATTTGGCTGTTATCTCTATTTTCGTTATAGATAGCTGTATGAAAACTATAGGTGTTCATGATCGTGTTTTCGATGTTAACGACAAAGTAGAAAATTCATTAGAACCAGCAGGTTAGTATGCTTAGAGAATCTCTTTTAACAAATGCATCTATCTCTCTGGTGCTTCAGTACTTTTTTTTTCCTTTCTACCTCTCTGCATGCTTGCATGCTGTAGTTACCCCGCTTCTGCCCATTGCTAGCAACGCTAATATGACTTCTCTCCTACTTCATGCCTCCACTATCTTCGTGTAATAATGCATGGTCAATAAAATATGACTTTTCTTTGTGTGGACGTGAGTTTGATATAATGCATTATCCTAATATAGAAACCCCATCAGATTCACACTCTCACTGCCTTTTACCATATCCTCAGAGCATGCTGGTAATCACTGTGAATATTCAAGGATGTGTTTTCAAAGAAGATAGAAAAAACACCTATTGTACATGCTTATAAATTTCTGTTTTCTTTTGTGTCCATCTCTATGGATCAAAGTCCTTAAGCCCTTCCGATGCTGAACGCCAGTGAGCAAAACAGCAGCCAATTCAACATACTGACTTTTCCCCAGAAATTCACAATCAGTATGAACTAATGTAAAGAACTTCAGTTTTCATATTCCATATTGTGGATTCATATTTCAAATACTGGTGCTATTGTCAATAGCAAATGATATGGAAGCAGTATCACCCTATTGCCTCCTTACTGCCCCAGTGCACACACCTCTTGCTCCCACCAACATACCAGTAGCCTCTTGGGCAGTGGCTCTCCACCTTCCTAATGCCGTGACCCTTTCATATAGTTCCTCATGTTGTAGTGACTCCTAATCGTAAAGTTATTTTTGTTGCTGCTTTATCACTGTAATTTTACTACTGTTAAGAATTGGGCAACCCCTGTGAAAGGGTCATTTGACCTCCAAAGGGGTCAAGACCCACAGGTTGAGAACTGCTGCTCTTGAGCCAACGTGGTGCTTGATTACTGGAGCAAAATAAGTATTACAAATTAAAAAAAAAATTTTCCCCAAATACTGATTCATGTACACCCAAATGTTCCCATCCCTTTGAAACATACCAAATCCACAAAGATGCTGAATGCCACACTCACACTGTACCCCGCTGGTTATGGTCCTTGGCTACAAACTTCATCTGGTTATTAAATACACCTAGACTGATTGGACCGGTCTGGGTGCCCTCTCTGCCCATTGCTCTCTGAGCAATGTGCCTCCTTGCCCTGTGTGCTGCTTTTCCTGTGGTTTCCTAGCATCGCCACACTGGTTAGAGATCTCTTCTCTGGCTTCCTGAACCATCTTCCCTGACCGTCTCAGTACATCAGGGAAACCAACCACCTCTTCCTCACAGAGAGATGAAAGCTCCCTTTGAGCAGAGACTTTCGGTGGCAGTGGGTTCTTTAATAGTAGGACCTTTCGTTCATGTGACCCTAGAAAATTAAAGGGTGTGGGGTCCACTTTAGCTTCAGACCATCGTTAACAGGGACCAAACAGTCAGTGAGGCTTAAGGAAACTCACCTTCAGTAAATGCAGTGCCTCGGAACGTACAATAGCTTTGACGTGGGAACTGGTAAAAAAAAAGTTCTTGTGTGGGGTTACAGCCCCGCCTCCTCCAGCATTCTTGTTTTTCTACAACAGGCGTCTTAGCCAGACCTCAAAGAGAGGTGTGTGGAATGAGCTTTCAGCGCCCTTAGTGGCTCCTCAGGGATCAGTTGGCTGCGCGTTAGAAAGTTGCAAGGAAGGTGTGCTGACGCAGACATTTCAGGTCTGTTCTGGAAGTCCAGAAGCGTGCCTTCCCGAGGGACCAGCGCCTCCTGAACCGAGCGGACACGGCCTCCGTGCAGTCTGTGAGTCAGAGGGCATCTCTTTGGAAGAGCCTTGGATCTACACACTTCTCTTTATGATCGAGTAGATTTGCCCACGGCTACAGGGAGAGTGAGGGGCAGATCCACAGCTACTATCCCACTCTCTCACCCCCCCCCCCCTTCGTAAGTAAGCCGTGAAATGTGAGACGGGTAGAAATCAAAGTTACCCTCGATTAGGGTTTTCCTAGACAGGTAGTTAGAACATAAGCTTATCTTTCCAGTCATCATTTTCCCAGGTAAACAACTAGGAACCAGAGGCTCTTTAGCCGGAGAGCAGCTTGTATGTTTCTCTCTGGTGATCAGGAGGCACAGGGAAGATTATTGTGACATTAAGAAAATTACCTTTGAATTCAACCAATGATAAAATACAAGACCGTGTGTAAGCATAGTTTACAGGCTTTCTTTCACTGAGCATGTAAGATACACCAGGACCCCAAACCTAGTCACATGTAACTGATGTTAAGTTTTTTAAAGTTCAGCAGAATGTAGCATGCATGCACATTCATGTAGGCATATGGCCCTGCATACACATCATGACTATATATGTGTTCAAGGGCATTTGTGGCGGGGTGGTGGTGGTGGTGTGTATCTTCACTGAAAAGGTGGGACAGGTTCAGCTGCAGGCTCTTCCCTGGCACTATCAAAACAACACTAAGTTTGAGATCTTCACCTATTCCCTAGAAATGGAATCACCATTGTGCTGCACAGTTGAGCGAAGGAATGATCGATTCCCTGTACCCAGCTCTGGGTGTGGACCCGGACGTGATGAATCCAGTCAGCCTGAAGGGCTTCCACTGCATGCTCTCCACAATGTGTACTAACCCACCTGTCTTTGGAATGTATTTGTCTTTTTTGTTTGCTTGCACACTTTGCCTGCCAGTTTCCTATCATCAGGGATACAGGATGATCTCAGGGCAGACATATGCCACATAATATGCTCCAAGATACTGCTAGTGTTGTCTCCGTTAACCACTGAATCCCATGTTGTGGAATCGTGTGGCCAGGAGGCACGGTTTGATTCGGCTTTGGAAGAGGAATATTTTCTTCTTCCAAGCCTTGTTCTTTCATAATTGTGAGGCATCCTCTCCTATTTAGGTGTCATTACCATAGGGCTAGATTCGGCTGTTGAATTCCTCCAAATAGGAAATTGCTTACATTTATCCAAAGTAGCAAGGAGTTTCTCATTTTGTTCTCCAGGGTGTTAGACTCGCCCACACAGAGGCCCCATTTTAATCAAAGGATGCTTCTGTCAATTCCTGAGTAAAGGGCAGCATATGGCTGCAAGGAGGACAGGACAGAGCTACAGTGTCCCACTGGGATGGGTTTTTACCTTTGGGGGCAAGGCAGCACACAGTCATTCGTTGGTTTGCTTGGAAAAGGGCTTATTCCAAGTATTGTCTATGATTGGAGATCAAAAGGTACATTTAGCCTCATGCTTCTTCTTCAATGAGAAGCAAAAGCTTTTCTCTCTGAGTCCCTGCAAGGTAGATTCACCGTTCCTCCTGAGCTGAGTGGCCCTCAAGCACTGAATCAGCCTTGCTGAGCCACCCGGCAGGGCCCAGGGACAGAGGGATCCCCCCTCATGCTCACAGTGAATACATCAGCTGTCACTGGGGTACCTTTTAGCAGCACACTTCTATACAAGGAGGAGCATTGGACAGTATATTATTAAAAATAAAGTGGGGAGGGGAAGGAATAGCTGATGCAATTTCAGGTGTGTAAATATAAGTGGTGTCTCAAAATGAACTCTGGAATTCTTCTGGGTTTAAGGTTCCTTCACAATTAAGCCACAAGCACTCCATTGTTCTGATTGACAACACATTGGTGCTAAGAAGTCATTTGGATTTTAATTTCAGGGCTGTTAAGGGCATTTACTTCCATTTCCTTTTTTAACTACAGATTTAATAGTTTTAGAAAACTGAGAAGGAACAGAGAAAGAGAGAAGGCCCCACCGGTATTGGACTGCATCGGGCAGGACTTTTATCTTTCCCGCTGCATTCATTTCTCTTCCTATTCCTGCTTCTGAGTCCTTTCTAGTCTCCTAAGCCACCAGCCACCCCACGCCTGATGGCTAAAGTCCAGGAAGGAGGAGCACATTTGGCAAAGGGGGGCAGCAGCTTACCGATGAAGACAGGCTCCGGCTGAGAGCACGCTGCCGCAGGAGACTCAAGGCTGAGAAGACAGTGCTTCGTTCCTTTGGGGGATACCCCGATGAGCAGAAACGTCCCCAATGAGCATAGCTGAAGCAAGGGCCCCGCGGGGAGTTTGAGTAGTGGCTGTGTTTGAACCAGGAGCAGGAAGTGTGCCTACCAATGACAAAAGAGCTTTCTTCTGTGACTTGTGATGTGAAGACGGAAAGTCAATGAAAGAATAATGCATAATGAGTTCATGGAGGTGTTTCAGATGGGCCCTCCAGGGACATGTGGAGATTATCCACTAAGATCTCTCTCACTGATGACAGTCACGGGAATTGGTCACCCTGGGTCCGGTTTTCTCCGAGTGGCCCTTGAATGACCATTGTAGAGCGCCTGCTAGACACTCCCCTGATGTTAAAATAAAATCTTCCCAGAGCTGGCCCCTAAAACTTGTAGTTAAGATTATTTAGCCTGAAAGCACAACTGAGCCAGGGGGAGGGAGAAGATGGCAACACGAGAGCATAGGGCGGCTTCCAGAAAAGCCTCTGTCATCTCCAGGTCCTGAGTGCTGCACAGTTCCTGTTAATCATGCAGAGCAGGAAGGCGATCCAAAGTCAAAAGCAGCCTCGTAGAACACTTTATAGCTAAATAAAAGAAGCTTAACTTACTTAATCCATTTTATTTAGAGGAAAATTTGCATCCATGCTGATAATTTATGTGCCAAGCTTCAGTCCAATAAAAAGAGAAATAGTCAGGTTCAAGTAATTTAGGCCTAGAGATAGAGGGTGTGTAATGGAACATAACATAATTGATTCCTAATTGCAGGGAAACCAGTGGGCACTGGTTTGTGGAGGTTTACTGGGGACTGTGTATCGTTTTTTTATGATGCTCTTATTTTACCTTCAATTCTTATGCTTAGAACTTCAGATGCCATCCAACATCTAGGCAATTCAACACTAGTCCTATGAGAAACCTCTAAAAAGAGGAAGACTGGCAGCCCATTCTGGTTAACCACTAATATGCCAGCCTAAGTGCTTCTCTCCTTTCCTCCCCTCCCCTCCGCCCCCGCCCCGCCCCAGCCTTCCCCTTGGCTCCTCCCTGGCATTTTAGGTTTAAAGGCACATTCAGATACCACAAGTGTGTCCCAGGCATGCCTGACTGCCAGGACACCCAAGTATGGCTCATGTGCCAAAGGCAATAGATAGGGTGTGTGCACACTCCCCCCCCACCCTTGTGAACTTGTAGGCAAAGTATTAACATTGCAGAGAAAGTCCAATTTTCCCTGCCTCTCCTTTGTTGGCTGTAAATAATGAGTGATTATGCAGACATGAAAGTCAATGGTGGCACAAGGTTCATTACCCGACGTTGCAGAGGGTGGTGAGGTCTGTTCACAGCAGGCTGCTGCGAGAGCGTTATTAAGGATGTGAAATCTCATTGGAATGTGTGCTTTCTATTTGAACAGATGACACCGTCCATGAGTCAGCCGAGCCATCCCGCGGCGAGAACGCCGCACAAACACCAAGGATACCCAGCCGCCTTTTGGCAATCCTACTGTTCTTCCTGGCGATGCTTTTGACATTATAGCACAGTCTCCTCGTGTCACCTGTCACAGAGAGCATCGGGGTCTTGGAACACCAGAGATCCACCTAACTACTCATCCTAAGAAGGGACTTGTGATTGGTTTTTGGCCGATGTCAGATTTTAATTTTCTTTCTTTCAACTTGAATTCTAAGCGACAACTTAGGGGGGAGGGGGCAAAACGAGTTGCCGCCTCCTTCCCCTTGCCCCACTCCCAGCCCTTGCCCATGACGTCTCTCACTCCTTCCAAATTAAACGGACTCCAGATGAAATTGCCAAATTGTCGTAGTGGCACCAGTGGTGCGCCAGCTCCTGTGCACGCCCCTCTGAGAGATCCCCTCCGTTAGCACACAGTGTCCGCCGCCCGCGGACAAGGAAGACTAGTGGCAGATGCAGCCCGTGATGGCTAGGCCCAGGAGGGTTTTACTCTCCTATACAATATTTATGCCTTCTCATTCAGAACTGTAAGATGATCGCACGGGGCATCGTGTCACCATGTCAGGTCCAGAGGGGAGGTATTAAGAACAGATATAATATTACATCGTTTCCTCGAGGAGTGTATAAATGAACAGGCTCCTAAAAGGTTGAGACACTGGTTTTTTAATATGACTGTCTTAAAGCATTCTTGACAGCAAAACTTGGGCTCTGGTAAAGCAGCCTTTTTTTTCCCCTGCAAGAGGGGGGAGGCGGGTGCAGAAAATCTTGTCCAGAACAAGTGTAAGAACCAAGACCGCCACAGGTGGTGGAGGCTGTGTTTGTGTGAGTGCCTCTAATTTTTTTTGGTGACAGGGCGGTGCACACCAGATTTTTTTTTCCCTTTGAATATAGATCACCATGGTGCTACAACTATTTTCTTTTTAGAAACTCAAAGAGGCATTTTTATCAATAAAGTGACCTTCCCCAAGGCTGACAAGCCAGGGTTGACGAGCGCATAGTGGCATAGCTTTAGATAGTCCTCGGGGGACAGCTGAGCCCAGGCAAGGATCGCGGCAGCCAGAGGAGATGCGATTTGGCCTTGCTGGAGCGCCAGTGTGCTGTGGCCTTTCCCCGACTCCCACCCACCCCAGAACCCACGTTTGGCTCCACACACCACCCCTGCTGCTGGGGGGTGGAGGGTGGCTCAGTATAAACCCCTGTCACCAGGAGAGTCAGTCAGCACTGCTTGGGGAGGGCTAAAGGGACATTTGGAATACAAATTCCAAAGTGTGAAATAAGGAAAAAACTCAACCGTTGATGTTCATTCTTTCCCTTTCTGACACAGCCTAAAGCGTAGGGGGAACATGTGTTTATCCTTGGGAGATAAACAAGATGGAGTCCCAAAGAACTTTAACAAAATATTTTTTTAAAAATCCACTAGAATAGAAGATACATTATTTAGATATACTTTATGCTGAGAGTGGTATATATGCTTGTCCTATTTAAACTTGTGAGAAAAAAAAGTGGTATCCCGTGATACATTTAGAAATCTTGTTTCAGTGTGGGGGTGGACGCAGGATAACCCTGTTGGAGGAATCGTAGCTTGGGGACCAGGAAATGCAAGCCCCGGGGTTTCTGCTAGAGGGGATGTGTGACGTGCTCGGCTCCCAGAGCCTAGAAAAGCATCGGACAGGAGGGAAACCGTCTCGCTTTTTCTGCTGTTGCTCGACCTGTGGACAGACACCCTGCCTTTCCCGACAAAAACACGATGATGGTGGGAACACGTGAGAGAGGAAACATTCCAGCAAAAGAAGGGTTTAAAAATATTTTTGATTTTTAGAAATGTATATGTGGAAAAAAAGGGGGTGGGGGGAGGGATCGTATTATGAACTGGCTTCCTGAATAACAATTTGCTTAGAATTGTTAGTAGTTCTGAATTAGAAAAAAAAAAGTATATATCTCTATATATGTGAATGGAAGGCAGCTATAAACGCACTGCACCCTGGGGAGATGTACACATGTTGAAATGTAATCTGGGCTTACGGGACCTTTGTGGAGTAGAAGTCACAGCGGGGTCCTCTCTCTCGGAGCCAGGTGAGCGGGGTTGCCAGCCTTGCAGATAGAATGAACCCATTCCCCCAGCCATCAGGAACCTCTCTGGAGTGGCAGAGCCTTGTCACGGAAGGCAGCCACCGTTTCATTGAAACAAAAGTTCACAGCATTCGATTCCTTTTCCTTTAACTAGTTATGTGCTCAGTACTCTCAGTAATACCCAGCAATGCTTCTTTTTATTCATAGTTACAAGCTCGTTGGGCCAGTGGGATTTGGGTTGGGGGCAAAAAGAGACACTTTTGAAAAAGGATCCATAGTCGAACCCAACTAATACTGCATGTTGTATAACCACAAGGAAAACAAATGATCTTGTAATGATCTCAGTTAGTCATGACTTACATTAGCAGTGCTAATTTCATTTTAGAAATGGTGACTTCTGTGATTTTTCTAGCATTTGTCTCTTAACAAATGATGACATAATTATTCATGGCCCTCTCTGCCATTGTCTTTCTTTTATCCCCCGCCCCCTTACGATGAATTGAAGCCCCGCTCCTTCACCATTGTACCACTGCAAAGTTAGTGAGCAATAGCCAAACTGTCTCAGCCAGGAGACGGTGTGCTGTCCTTCCTGTAAGTGACACGTTGTAGGGAATGACTGCATTTGCCACTGAGTGACCCAGAGGACTGACTGGTGTCAGGTAGTTGTAATCCTGTCCAAAACAACCCGGTGGCTTTCCCTCCAACCCACCCTCCCCCCTTTTAAAAATTCTTGGTGGTGGTGGTAAAATGCTCTGGGGGCTTGGGAGGATGTCGATGCAACTTGCTAGCAGCTTTTAATTTCAGAAGCCCGAAAGGCAGCGCTGGCTGCCCCTCAGCCCGGTCAGTCCAACCCCAGCCAAGGCCTTTGCAACATGAAGCAGGGAAATCAGGATCTGTCTGTTCAGTGGATACTGTGTATCCTTTAATAGACCAGATACAGTAGGTGTTAGTTTAGACTGTTGTTTTGTACTGTACTTTCTTGGGTGGCAGAGGAAAGAAAAAAAACATAAAAAAAAACAAAAAACAAAAAAACGGGGAAAAAATGCGTTCTTTAAATTCTGTATTATTAGCAACCTCTGTTGTATATAGTGTTTGATAATAAAGTATTAATTTGATTCTTATGTCTTTTGTAAGTGAGAACAATAGACTTTCGGGATACAAACATGCATTGAGGCTTGTGGAACATCCACTGTGTGCGTGGCTGAGAAGAGAGTCCCCAGTGGCTCACACTGCACTGCTGCATATGGGACTCCTGTGTGGAGGCCGTCGTCACCCGCCCCCACCCCCGCCATCTCAAGACCACCACCACGTTGGGACCTGGAACATCATGACTTCTGGTCAATACTAATCATCTGTGTTTTCAAGGTGGTGTCGGGAGCCTGTGGGTTTTATCTCCCTCTCCCCAGCATGCTGGTTGGACAAGGGTTAGGAAACTGAGTCAGGGTTCTGGACTTTGGTTTGGTTTTCGGTTTGTGGTGGTTCCCGTGGGCTGTTTTCTTTCCTGTGCCCCCAGCAGAAAGGGTCTTGGCAGTGTCGGTGCAGCCGAGCCTGGGGTGGGTTCCCACCGGGCCGCCGGCGGAAGGCCAGGCCGGGCTGCTTCGCTCTCCGTTACTGTGAAAGAAGAGTCACGCAGTACCTGTGGATTTTCAGGGACTCTGTTTTTTTCTCGGTGCCTTAGCAACGGCAGCAGTCATTTTTATTAGTCTCCCCACCCCCCAAATTAGAAGAATAGTTTAAACTCCCCTCCATTCATTGCTGTCAGAGTTGTGGTCATGAGTTTTTCTTTAGAAACCACCTCCACCAACGCCCCCGTTTGCCTGCCTCCACTTTTGAAAAAAAATGTCCCCGCCTTCCTCTCCCTGGGCGCCGTGAATGGGCAGGCCGTGTCTGCTTTGGCATGACTGAGTGTTTCCCATGCATTTGCCCCAGAGCCGCTCGGACGGGAGGCAAATCTCCCTGCAATGGGCTTGCCCCCATTGTCTGTACAGTTTAATAGATGCTGGCATGTTGGAGGTGACCCATGAGTCAAAATCCGCTTTCCATGCTGCCTCTTGACACCGCATTGAGCCGCTCATTGTGTGTGCGTCCGCGCTGGTCCTGCCCCGCTTGGCCGCCCCTCTGCACTGACTCACCGAGTGCTGTTTTGAAATGCTGACATTATAGAAACGGAAAAAAAAAAAATGTAAAAGATAAACAAAAATATACACACGCAAACACACAAACAAACCCATACAATCTGTATTTGTATATACACGTGTCCGTACAACTATACCGAAATAAAAATTAAAGATTTTCATCATTTTAATTGGATCCCTTCCTTCTACTTGTTTATACCTTGAATGACGCCTTTATTTCAGGGTCTGCTTGTACTCCGCCGAGTTTTCAAAGTCTGTCGACAGCAAAGACAATACCACATGCACGAGAGAAGGCCTGGGCCGCTCAGAGCAGAATGCAGGGTTAGAAGTGGTCCAGTAGTTCTAGGTGCGCTCCAGTTACTGTGACGCGGCAGGAGTGAGATTTGGGCCTGGTCCCCGGATCTGAGCCCTTCAAGGAGTACTAGAACAAACCCTGCACCCTAAAACAACTGGGGGCAACCTACAAATTCCACTTGCTTACACCAGGTTTTTTACAACCTATCAGGAAAAGACCAAGTACAGACCCCACACAGACACACACACACCACCACTATTAAGAAATACTCGATCTACCACCCTGTGACTTTGGACAAGTCACATAACTTCTGTGGGCCTCAGTTTCCTTATCTGTAAATAACAGGATTACTTAAGTGATTCTTTGCATTCTTAAAATCAGGCCCAGGAGCCCTGCTGGGGATGGCACAGCCCGTTTTGCATTGGAGTGAGGTGTGCCTTGTCTCAACATTGCTATGGGCACAGTTTGAGAATTTCATTTGCAGAGAGGGAAAAAGCAGCAAGTATCTAACACAATAGACACCTAATGCATTTCAAGATTTGGCTTTAATTATACCATGTTAACATTAAACGCATTGAAAGCTTTTTATTACACTTTATTATTTGTCAGGGCACTAAACACTCATTATAACTTACTATAACCTCTTTGCTAATGAAGAATGACAGCTTTATAGAATGAGGAGCAACTGAACATTTTTTAAAAAGGTACTGGACTACCTATGTGATATTTTCAAACCAGGACAGCATTACATTGTCATTATCATTGGCACCATCATCATCAAAAGCCTTTAAGTGATCATTACATTGTGCTCAGTGCTGTGCAGAATACATTTGATGTTGACAA